GGCAGTTGGGCCTGATCTGGCCTGCGGGCCCACGACATAATGAATACAAGCATTTGTTCATGTATGCAACAACGGCTGCTCGGATATTGATAGCCAAACACTGGAAAGAAAAACTCCCACCAAGGAAGATTGGCAAACTAAGTTAATGGAGTATGTGCAAATGGCTAAATTAACTGGGAAACTTAGAAATCATATCATATCATATCATATCATATCATATCATATCATATCATTAACATAACATAACATAACATAACAACATAACATAACATAACATAACAATATAATAAGAATGGGAAATGTTTATTGCATATTTACAAAAGCATTGTAAGGAAGTTAATACATTAGCAGGATTTTTAAAACACTTGTAATGTTATGGATAATGTTTAAATTTGGAGGTAATTAGAGATAAAGACTTTATTGACATGCATAAATGAAGATAATACAAAGGAACTACGGGAGGGAGTGGAGGGAAGTCATCCCATAATGTGGATCTAATATTAAGTGTTTTAAATTTTTTACTTTATGTTTTTTCTTTTTTTCTTTAATGCAATGATTTTGTTTATTGAGAAAATTAATAAAAATATTATTAAAACAAAACACAAAATAAAAAAACTAGCCCCCCTTCCACAAACAAAAATAGAAGGCCATAGACTGTTAATCAGCCCAAGGCCTGGTTAAAGAGAAACGTTTTCACCTGGCACCGAAAGATATGTAATGAAGGCACCAGCAGGCCTCCCTTGGGAGCATCCTACAAACGGGGAGCAACAGAATATTGTTCAACCGTCCTCATTTAAATGGGACATCCCGGAATTATAGAAGCCATTCCCAGATTCTGCCTGGGTCCCAGAGTGTCTCGTCTTTTGGTCTCATGCTCTAGCGCAAATCAGTTGGCTTGCACCAGAGCACAGGGGCGTAGCCAAGGAGGCAGGGGGTGGGGGACAGTTGCCCCCCCCCCCAGATAAAGTAAAACAATAGAAATACTTAACTGACCAATCACGTCGGTTCTGCCTCCCTAACAAAGTGCTGGCCCCCCATAACAAAAATCCTGGCTACGCCCATGTCTGAGCGCCAGACCAAGAGATGTTTGTTATTTGGTCTCACGCTTTGGCATGGGTCAGCTGGCTCCCCTGAGAGCTCAGGATCAAAACAACGAGCGTCTCGATTTAGATCACCAGCAGAAAGGGACTGTTCTTGGGTTGCCACCTCCAGACCACTCCTGGAGGAGGCCCCTGAAGAAAGGCCTCAGATGATGACCACAGGTTCATATGGTGAGAGGCAGTCCTTGAGGTATTGCAGTCTTTGTCTGGGCAACCATGCCCTGCTTGGGGCCTCTTGCAAGGCATCATCTGGCTCACCATGTGGGAATCAGGATGCTGGTCTGATACAAGAAAGCAAGATGAACATTCTTAGGAAAATCATGCTTAGTAGAACCCCCAAGTTCAGAGGCATTCTACCACCGGATATCGGCTGCTGTTCGGAATGGGATGGTGCTGTTGAGTTGAAAGGATTATTTTGTATCAGGTCATTTCGCATGACTTGGTTCATTTTTAAAATTAATATTTTATTAGAAGTGTTTGGTTATAAAATAAAGGAGGGGGGGAGAAAGAGAAAAAAGTGCAAACAATACAGTAAAGAGGAAATTATAATGTGATAGAATAAGTATTCTCAGTTACAACAGATTATTATATAAGTATATAGTTTGTGTATGATACTGGATAGAAGTATTTAGATAGTATTGTTATCCTAATGCAGAAGTGGGATAGAACAAAGATATGTTCCATTCCACTTCTGCATTGACCTGTGGGGCTTGGGATTTGTTCATTTTAAAAATATGCACAAAACTTTGTACAGTGGTACCTCTGGTTACGTACTTAATTCATTCTGGAGGTCCATTCTTAACCTGAAACTGTTCTTAACCTGAAGCACCACTTCCGCTAATGGGGCTGCCACCGCGCGATTTCTGTTTTTATCCTGAAGCAAAGTTCTTAAGCTGAAGCACTATTTCTGGGTTAGTGGAGACTGTAACCTGAAGCGTATGTAACCCGAGGTACCACTGTATTTAAATATGGCATGTATCTCAATGCATACATTTCTTTCCTATTTATTTATGTATTCTTCTCTCTCTCTCTCTCTCTCTCTCTCTCTCTCTGTGTGTGTGTGTGTGCGCACAAGAGAGAGAGAGATGGCCCATGTGACCATGGTCTCTGAGTGCTTTACATAAAACAATAAAATACACAATACAATTCACAATAAAAACACAAATAAAATGACATAAAATCACAAAGCAGCTGAAGTCAGCATAATAGATGGCAGTTCATTAATACCATCATAAAACACCCAGATGAATTTGGTGCAGAAGTTAAAGTCCCCAAATGGATTGTAATAAAAGGGACAGGAAGTTCCTTCTCTGGTGTCAAAAAGAACACAAGGGAGGTGCCAGGTGAGCCTCTGTGAGGAGGGCATCCCATAACCAGGATGCCACCACTGACAAGACCCAAGACCCAAGTCTCGTACTTCTCAGAGGGTGTGGCAGGAGAGGATGGCAGGTGTAGAGGGAAGGTTCAAGGACAATCACAGAAACATTGAAACATTTCAGGGTAGTCTAGTTTGTCTGTCTCAAAATAGAGCTGATCTAAATGGGATTGCCTGGCAAAAGCAAGCTCACACCTTAAGGTACATATGTCAGAGGCTCGTTCATAATTGTATTTTGGGAATGATTCATGTTCTTTTGTAGCTACATTGCTTTATACTTTCTGGGTGTCCCATGGTCATATTATGAAGGTGCTGTGTTCTGGGTGATAAATCAAGCACTGTTTTTGTTTTCCAACATGTTTCTGATAAAGAAAACAATTGACGCGGTGTGAGCAAATTGCTATTCTGAAAGTGTGGCCAAGAGAAAATTTCATGAGAGCCCTAGTATCTGCCAATCCTAAAATATTTATCACAATATATACATTTTTGATGTGTTTGAGTAAATTCTGTGATATAAGGGCTGTATCACAACATTCAAAGGATCCTCAGGATAATTATACAGCATTCCAATCCACACAGTATTCCAATCTTGGAAGGGAAGGATCTGGTAAGAGTTGATGGAATACGTAGAGATGGCGAAATTGACTGGAAGAATAAGAGATTGAGATGAGAGACTTTTTAAAATAGAATTGGGAAAAATTGTTGAATGCATGAAGAAAAATTGTAAGCAATTAAAAACGTAAGCAGGGTTGCCACCTAAATACGAGCAGTAAGAAATAACTTAAAGGGAGTAAAAAGGTTAAACTTGTAAGTAGGTTTGAATTGGTTATGCAGTAAGATTACGATATAAAATAAGGAACTGCAGGGGGGAGTAAAAGAAAATGTAGGTTTAATTTGTTTAGATTTAATTTTTGTTGTTGAAATATTGTAAAATGTAAAAATGCAAAATAACAATAAAATAACCCCCAGAAATCAAATCCCTTCAGCACCACCTGATGCTAGTCTAGATGGACCTTTATTCTGATCTGGCAAGGTGACCCTTAAGTCTTTGTCAAATGAGGAGTCACTGCATAGAAATTACATAGAAACATGTGCCTATAAAGAGAATATTGCATCAAAATGCAAACTGATGTGGAAATGTGGAGAACTGAATTTCAGATTGGAAAAATGAGAACCCAAGAGAAAGTGATATTATCAGATCTGCTCATCCCTATCTATAAAATCCCTTTGTTCATTACTGCCTCTGCCCTGGTGGCAGAGCTTGTGGTTCGTGGCCACTGAGAGAGAGCCCTTCTCCTCCATGAATCTGTCTCATCTTTTAAAGCCACTGAAGTTGGCAACCAGCCCTTGCCTCCTTCGGGAGGGAGTTCCCAAGTTTGTGCTGCAGGAAGACGTGCCCTGAATCTCCCAACATTCAGCTTCATTAGCTATCCATGGGTTCTGGTGTTATGAGAGAGGGAGAAAACCTTTTCTCCATCCATTTTCTCCATGCTTGTGCCTGGCATTTTATAAACTTCTCTCATCTGCCTCTTACTTGCCATCCTGGATTCCATCCTGGCAGCTCCACTGCCCTAGAGATGCCCACTAAGGACAGACTGAATCCAGTGCTTCTCCCTAAATCCAGAAGGTGTGACGGAGAGGAGGAGCAATGAGAGAGAGATCAGGGGAATGGTTGGGAATGTTCCTCTACAGCTCCCTCTTAATTTGCTCTGGAGCAACTTTCCTTATGGAGGCAACTTCTGGCACCAGCTCTTATTTTTTAACCTTAAAAATGTCAGCAAATTTTCATAAAATTGTAAGTTGCCAGCCTCCCATCAACATGGTGCTTCAGCTTAAATCTCTCATATCAAGCTGTGTCATTTGTGGCTATCTCTCATGGTAAATTATGTGGGAAGATGTGGGGTTCTCATTGTGCACAATGGGGGGCGGAAGTGGGGCAATATCTGGAGAAACCCTCCCCCCACATCTTCAGAATTGCCCCCCCCTTTTGCTACAATGAGCCCCCAATCTCTTCCCAATCCTGCCTTTTGTTAGCTCTTCTCACCTCAGAGATGTTTCAGTTAATCTCAGTTTCTTCCCATCTCCCTCTGATAAGCTCCTTCCATTCTGGAAAAGGCCTCACTCCGCACCCAAACTCCAGAGGAGCCCCACCCCAGAGCTGCAGCAAAGCCGGGGGGGGGGCATCTTTATTTGGTTGTGTCTCAGGGGGAAGCCATGGTGTGGGCTGGAAGAGCTGGGCCCTGTGCTGAGTCAGGAACGCTTGCCTGTCAAGAGCCTTGTCAGCATCACACTAACAGTAATCAATATGTGGCCTCCTAACCCACGGCGCCCCCTCACGCCACCCTTTGTGCTGCATGCGAAAAGTAGCTGCCATCTTGGCTGTCTGTTTTGTGGGCCGACGTGACATTCTGAGGCCTGCTCCTGAGCGCACGGAGGGAGAGGTCAGCCGCTTTGCAGATGACGCCGGCTGCCTGGGGAGGACGGCCACTCTCCTGAAATAAGAAGTGCTGCTCTCAAAGTGGACAATGCCCAAAGGCAGCCCAAGGAAACTCATTACAAGTCAGGGCGTAAGTGGCAACTTGGACAAGGTGCCCTGAAGAGTGGGAATCCTCTCAAGTGGAGGATCTGATTGTCACAGCCGCAAACCCGATTAGATTCTTCTTTGTCAGGCATTCACAGGAAGGGGAGCCACAGAGAGCTTGTGCACAGGAGAGAGCTTTTTCCTGTGGAGTTGCATGAGCGTGGGGGTGTGTGTGTGGGGGGGAATCCTTGACACAGGAGAAATGTGAAATTGCCCTGCCTCAAAGAAGGCATCGTGCTGAGTAGAAATGAATGAGGAATTGGAGCAACAAAGAAAGCCTAAAGAAATAGATGGGATAGCTCAGCTGGTAGAGCATAAGACTTAATCTTAGGATTGTGGGTTCGAACCCCACGTTGGGCAAAAGTTTCCTGCATTCCATGGGGTTGGACTAGATGACCCTTGTGCTGCTTCCAAGTCTACAATTCTATGATTCTCTTAATGTTGTGCAACCTTATTTCTGTTTTGTTCCTCCAAGGAAGGGTCCCCCTTCCCTTCCCTTCCCTTCCCTTCCCTTCCTGTTCTGCTCAGGAATACTGTCTTCCTGGTGTGATCAGCTCCATCCTGACTCTGGGAACAGAGGACCTTTCTGGCTGACCCTTTCCCTTCCTCTGTGAAGGCGGCTTGTTTCGGCTGCTCCACCCAAAGACCTTCCTGGAGCTGAGTGGGAGAAGGAGGCAGCTTGCCTTGAAGGGCACGTGGGGGGCGTTCTGGAAGGAACCTCCCCAATTCAGAAACACCCCTCCATGGCTGAGGCCTTATCACTTTTATTCATGTAATAGAGATGAAGTCGCCCAGCCTCTCAGGAGCATCCATCTAGAGATTTATTAACCAATTTAAAATACTATTGTCTTTCACTTCAGTGTGAGATTGAGGTGTGTTGTCGGAGGAATATAAAGCTACAATCAGTGAGGCGCCGTGCAGCCAGACGCCACTACCTGGAACTCAATAGATATTCATGAACACTCCCGTATTTAGTGAAGGAAATAACTTAATGCCGACAGAGTCGATGGAATAATAGCCGTTTCCTGGCTGACTTGCAGCCCTCAGAAAATGAGATTGCACCTGCCTTCATTTTTCTTGTCTTTTTCTGGGTTTCTTGCAGCAGAATGCGCCACTGGAGGGAAATGTGCCACGCATTCCTAATGAGCTGCAGGGACAGGCGGCGGCAGCCTGCCCTTCCTGCTCCAGTCTTGCAGGAGCCTCTGCTGGGCACGCCCCTCTCCCCTCCTCCTCCGCCACCAGGTAGGGTTCATTTCATGCTTGCTTAGATTATGAATACTCTCAAAGGCAATTTCCTCATCTTTCTTGCCCTCCACCTCTGCTCTGCCCACCTCTGCCCGCCTTTCTACTCCCATCAAATTCCCTACACTCTTCCATGCAGGCAGCCACAGATAATCCCCTGCTCATTTCAGTGGGACCCGCCCAGGCATAACCGGGTGGCAGCCTTGGAGTCAAGGAGGGAACCTTTGTATCAAATTGGTTTGCATCTAGGAATCATTTGCTTGTGGGTTGTGGGAGCAGGCCTGTCTTGTGGGGGACGGCTTAGACACAGCAAATTGGAGAGAGCTTCTTTCTTGTTCTCTGTATTACCTGCCATTTCCCAATTGTATGGATCTCAATGGCATTAAGTTGCCCAGGGGAGTCTGACAGGTTGGCTGGAAAGGGTGTGCCGCTGGCAGAAGCCTCATGAGGAGCAGGAGGGGCCCATTCAGGAGGGGCCAATTCAGCATTTTGCCGCTGTTCTTTTCTCCTTACTAACAAAAAAGATTATAGTAGGCAGTGATGCTGCCCAGCAGCTCCCTGGTAAAAGGGAAACAATCTAAGAAGGACCAGTTTATGCCCTCTGCAGACCACATGAAACAGCTTTCCCAGGCAAGACCAGTTTGCTGCGCACTGGGGGAGATGTGTATCTGCATGTTCTGGGCAGAGTCTCTCCGCGCAGGGGAAAAGAGCACACAAGGAGAAGTGCCGGCTCAATCCTTCCACGTTTCTATCTACAGGAAAGAGATTCCTCTGTAGCCCAGTTCAATGCCTAGAGCAGCAGCTCTCCAGGGATTCCTCAGGCAGAGGAGGGTCATCTTTCCCATCACCTGCTGCTACCTCATCCAGGGATTGAGCCAGGGGACTTTCTGCAAGTCAAGCAGGTGTGGTGAGCTATGGTCCTTCCCTGAAACTGCTGATAACTTGATGAACCTGCCAGTCTTCTTTTCCTTCTTCTTCTTCTTCTTTGGTCATCCCTCGTAGCCAAGTAAGATTGTCTTCCATGAACACGGTCTTAACAGTGAGTCCGTAGGTGACTGCGGAGGCTAATTCTGGATCCACACGTCCTTCCACAGTGGGGACAGAGGTTTCTGGCTGGGAGTTGATCACAGTGAGGGTTTGCCAAACGTGCCTTCCTCTTGTGTGTTTCTGCTGCTGACATTGTAAACTGATCCTCAGATGAGAGGCAACATTGCTTGTGTGGAGCAACTCCACAGATATTCAAAAGTTGGCTCTGAGCACCAGCCTAGCCACATGTCCTGCCACTGACCCTGTGCTGCCGGGGGTTTCTTCTTGCAAAGCCTCATTTCCTCTTCTGATTTGTCATTCCAGCTGAGCCAGGTTGGGCCAAAACCTTCCGACCCCAGTTCTGTGGGAATGTTAAGGAAGGTAGGAGAGGATATATTGTTTAGGCTCAGGGTGGCCTGTCTAATGTTTGTTCCTAGAGAATGGTCTTCTGCTGCTCCTGTTCACCCACATAGTTCAAATGCGCCTCTTTCTCCTGCGAGGAGAAATTAAAAATAAAATCCTCACACAAATTCATCAATGTTTTTGTGTTCCCTGTAGCAAAAAAACCTGTTTGTCTGCCCACCCTTTCACCTTAGTGAGCCAGGCATACCCTTCTCCCCAAATTCACAAACGCAGGACAGGTTTTGTTTGGCAGGAAGTTTGAAAAATCCTGGTGGCGATTTCTGTCACTTCCCACAGCATTGGTGGGAAAACCTTAAAGAAGGAGGCCAGGCAGTGCTTTGCCCCTCCCACCAATGCCCCTCAGCCCTACTTGACCATCAGAAAACCTGCAACTGACCATCTGCCTTGAGGCAAGAAGCCTGCGTGTAAGCAATTGGTTCAGTATAAGCTAGACCTGAGCTCAAGAGCTCCTTTTGTTTTCCATATTCTGCTTTATCTCTTTGTCCTCTCCCTTGCCTTCTTTATTCCTAATAAACCTGACATAATTTGACAGGCGGGTCTCATGTGCATCGTTGGCAACTCACAAGGTTAGTGGAGGACCCCCCACGAGCCTAAGGTGCTTGGTTCATGCTACAGAGAGGTATAGGATTGGGGTTGACAGGCTGCTGGAATCTCTGCAGGAGGGACTGCAGTAGAAAAAAAGCAGGTTTCTTTCACCCCAGGGAGCAGCCAGGAAACTGGATGCCATATTGAAGTCCCTGTTATATGATAGCCATGTTCAAATATATAAAAGGATGTCACATAGAGGAGGGAGAAAGGTTGTTTTCTACTGCTCCAGAGAAGCGGACACGGAGCAATGGATCCAAACTACCAGAAAGAAGATTCCACCTAAACATTAGGAAGAACTTCCTGACAGTAAGAGCTGTTTGACAATGGAATTTGCTGCCAAGGAGTGTGGTGGAGTCTCCTTCTTTGGAGGTCTTTAAGCAGAGGCTTGACAACCATATGTCAGGAGTGCTCTGATGGTGTTTCCTGCTTGGCAGGGGGTTGGACTCGATGGCCCTTGTGGTCTCTTCCAACTCTATGATTCTATGATTCTCTTTCCCTCTGCCCCATCCAAGAGCTGGAGGTACAAAGAGGGCTGGAGGCAGCACCAAGTGCTGAATAGTTTGGGACATGACTGACCCACCTTGCAAGGTGGTTGCGCAAGGCAGTTAGTGCAAGCAGGCTCTCCTTGCTCCTCCCCTTTCTTCACATGCCCTTTCTCTTAATAATCACATTTTTGTAGACAATTTGTACACATTTTTGCAAGTAATTTCCCTTTATATAATGCTTTATTTCTATTTTATTTTCACTCTATCTGCATTTTATGCACACTTCCTCCAAATATATGCAGTTTGGGTACAAAATCTGGCAACTGTGATTTTCAAAAGATAAGCTGCATTTTGATGTGCACGTTGTTTCAAGAAGTGTGAATGAAGGTAGGTTCAAATAAAAATGTGAACCAAACTGAATTTCCCTCTTTTCCTACTTTTCAATACACAGAAAGTGCCAACTTGCAACCCATCCAAGATAACGGTAATGGCAGAATGATTTTCAAGGGATGGAATTCAGGAGCAGGGCTCACTGTTGCCTGAAAATGGGGCACGACTTCCTCTGCAGAAGAAAAATTGCAAGGAAGAAGGAACCTGGAGGTTGGTTGTGTGAATTCAGTTTCCGTGGCTAACAGGGTTGAGGAGCTTGAAAGTGATAAGGAGAGAGATGAGCTGCATTGCTATGGTAACTTAATCAGTTAAAATCCTCCTGCTCAATTCACTCCTGTTAGCATTAAAGGAGGGAGGGAGGGGGGACAGAGAGGAGCGATGAATTCACCTGAGCTCAATTGGCTGATTAAATTAATAGGTATGGATGACTAGGGTTCTATTTCAAAAGAGCTATTTTTAAAAAAATATGCATAATTTTAATTACACATTGACACACGCTCTATTCCTAATGAAGAAGAACTTGACTACAAGGGCAGGTGCTCTTAATGCTTCGATGGAAACCAGCACAAGGAACCTGGGGGGAGAAGGAGGACTCTGTGCTCTTCTTCCCCCGCCCCGAACCCCTGGCAGCACTCAGCTCGCCTTCCATTCTTTTCTATTCGTTCTCTCCTTCCCTTCATTAGTCTAATCATGAATAGTTCCAGAATTTTAAAAAGGAAATACGCAGAATCCTTGGGAACTATTGCAGCAATAACACCTCCTTCCAACTCAGCCTTTCTCAACCTGGAGCCCTCTGGCAGTTTTGGACTGCAACGCTCATCAGCCCCAGACAGCATGCAGACAGCTCTAAGCAGGCAGAGGGCACCAAGTTGGGGAAGGCCGTTTGAACTCATCCCTATTTTCTGACATGCTGACATCCTTCCTTCCTTGCTTCTAGCAGGACTTGACATGTGCCTAATGGGCTGATCTGCTGTGATGTCATGGAACCTTCACAATTCAGCAGGGAAGCCATCACACAAGGGCAATGGTGGCTCTCCGTCTTCCTCATCATTGGAGGACATTCTGCAAACAATGACAAGCAGGGTAGACCGGTACCCCAAAGTGCTTGGCTGTGGGTCAGATGCACTTGGTGGGGCTGGTGGTGTCTCACCGAGGAACATGGCGATGGGCAGCTGGCGCTTTTGTCTTTTCCGCTGGTCAGGGCGCACTTGGTGTCTCCTCAGCTGGTCAGGGCATGCTTGGGCAGCCTCCTGGTCCACGGATGCAGCTTCAACATGGTCGCCAATGTTCTTCAGATTGACACACCATTTGAAGCTGGCTCAGAACTCCTTTGCAGGCTGCTTGAAGCGTGCATACAGGCTGAGAGTCTTCTTGCGCAAGGTGCTGCCATCAATGGGGATACGCTGGAGAGTCATGTCCTCTAGCCACAGGTTCAGGGCCTCATGTGCCTTCCCCATGGCCTCGTCTCGCACGTACCTGGGAACCTTGGCGGTTGTAGGTGTACAAGCGATCCTTGCAGAGGCTTGGGAGTGAAGTTGCGCCCCTCCCAAGCCTCCACGGGAGGAGAGCGCAGCTTCCCTCCCAAACCTCCTTGGGAGGAGAGCGATCCCCGCAGAAGCTTGGGAGGGAAGCTGCACGCCCGCCAGCCTTATGGTTGGTGGGCGTGCAGCTGGCAGGCGTGCAAGGAAAGGGGAGGCCGCCAGCAAAGCCACGCAGCTCCCCCACTCATTGGGGCACTCCCGAGAGCCCAGCGCCCTGGCGCAACACACCACTAATCTCTATGGGAAAGACGGCTCTGACCGGGATTCCACTTAAAAGCTGTTTTCGCATGATTTTTCGGCTTCTTTTAGGTGTTTCGGTCCCTTCCGCACTACTTCCAGGCTTGACACCATACAAGTGCACCTTGAACACATGTAAAAGCCTGTATTTTAAATTGCCTCTCCATCCAGTGTCACTGGGATAAAAGAGTGGCCTGATTCTCACACGTGTGGCTGCCACTGTCCCATCTCTGGGCTGCAGAGCAGGGGGAGGTCTAAATCCTGTCAGAATGGGAATATGGAGAGACAGAGAGAGGGCTGGGAGCAGACGCCTGCTGGAGTCAAAGACTCCGGAAGCTGGAGGTGTGATTGTGTTTGCTGCTCCCTGTTGGTGTCGTGAGCCAGTTGCTGCTCAAGCGCCCCAGAAATGATGGCAAATGTGTTTTAAAATTTTGTGACAGTCCATGCACAAATCACCAATTAAAGGCTCCCAAACCGCACATTAACATGATAAGTTATAACAGCTCCAAAAGAGACATTCTTGTTTATCACGGCAGCGACCCATGGATTAAGGGCTCCCTCAGTACACATTGACAGCCCGGTGCCAGCGGCACCAAAGCTGTTGCGTTCTGCGTTGTGCCAATGATCTGTGGAGAATGGGAGGAGGGCGCCTCCTCATTCCCCCTCACAAGTTTTAAACAAAGGGCTTCCTGACCAGCTGCAGATCAGTGACTGAGCATTTGCAGTTCCAAGGGGGGAGGAAGAGAAGCGTCTTGGAGCAAACGTGAAAGGGAATGAGTACAGAGCACCAACAGGCAATGAGGGGAGTAATCTCAGGCTCTGGTAGGGCCCAGGCTGGATTACCGTGGTGTGTAATTCATGGAACTGTCCTTGAAGACAGCTCAGAAACCTCAACTAGCACAGAATTCAGCTGACAGAATTCTGGTTAAATTCAATGTTGGTCAGAGTTGTCCTATTAATAAAATTGATGGAGATGGCCACATATCACCTCATATCTCCTCTTTTCCAGACTAAACATAACCAGCTCCTTCAAGCGCTCCTTGTAAGGCTTAGTTTCCAGCCCCTTGATCATCTTGGTTGTCCTCCT